GATATTTGAAAATAAACTTATATATGCAAGTTATGGATTATGGCGTATATATGCAAGTTATTTTCAAATAAACTTGATTTTTCAGAAAAGTTCTGTCATTCCTTTGCTGTGCTTGTTTGTGGACGATGAGTGTTCTGGCATGAGTGGCCGATGAAGGTAGTATCTATCCTTTTTTGATCGTTGATGGTTGAACTTTCCTTTTGGGCCGTTGAGGTTGCGTCTTGTTTTTAGGACGATGAGCGTCCTTTGTTTTGGATGGCCAGTGAGGGTGTTGTGCACTCCTTTTGGCCGTCGTTGATGACACCATGTGCTTTTGGCCGACGAGGCGCCATATTGCCCAAGGTTTTGGGAACAATAGCAGTGTCTGGCCGGAGATGGAGTTATGAGGACCTTGGAACCGTTGTGGTACATGGACGATGTGGCCGCGCTTGTAGTTGCATTTGTTTACTTTGTGCATTTTTGTTTCTCATTTTTCTTGCCATTCTTGAGGCCGATGTAGTCCCCCAGTCCCCCACTGCTTCAGGCCGAAGAGTGTGAGGGGTGAAGAAGTAGTTTGAGTCCCTGGCCGATGCAGTATCTCCCTAGTGCCCCTGAATCCAACCTTTTGGCGATTTTCTGGCCAAGGTAAACCTTGTGGGAGAACCCTTGGGCGCAGATCGCTTGCAAAGGGTTATCATCGGGGGTCGTTACGTAGACCGATGGCTGCGGGTTCTTTACTTCTTTGATTCTGCGGCCATTAAGTGCGTGCATGATACTCTTAGCCGCTGTCATGTCCTTGTTGCTGTGATCGGGGTCATTGGATGCCTTGGCCGTTGCGGGCTCTTGCTGGAGTTTGTTGGCGCCGAGGGGTGTTTCATCCCCGGGGGCCGTAGGCGGATATATGCCTTGCTCATGTGTGGCCGTGGAGTGTGTGTCCCAGCTTTTTCACCGTGTGGACGATGGCTAGCACCGTCTTCTCAATGGGGGAGTACCTGAGCTCGGCCTCCCTGAGTGTTTTGCTGATGTAGAATATGGCCTTCTGCACCCCTTCGTCCTCGCGGATGAGCACGGAGCTGATGGCCGACGTGCTCACCCCCAAGTATAGGAAGAGGGGCCCGCTTGCTTTTGACAGCATGTGTGGTGGCCCGCTTGCTTTTGACAATCATAACATCGACGTATGCCTCCATCGTCCGGGCGAGGACCATCTTGAAGATCTTAGCCACCATTCTGGTGTAGGTGGCGCCAGAGTTTTTGAGTTCGAAAGCCATGACGAGGTAGCAAAAAATTCCCTCCGGGGTCATAAAGGCCGTCTTCTCAGCGTCATCTTCATGCATGAAAATCTGGTGGTACCCTCTGAAGGCGTCAAGGAACGACATCAACTCGCATCTTGCCGTCTCGTCCACCAATTGATCAATGTTGGGGAGAGGGAACGGGTCCATGGGGCACGCCTTGTTCAGGTCAGTGTAATCAACACACATTCTGAATATCGACGGTTTTTGGGCGAGGACGACGTTGGCTAGCCACGTCGGGTACTTCACCTCCTTGATGTGGTTGATTGAGAGGAGCATGGTGACCTCCCCCTTGACGAAGTCCCGTTTGTCGGCGGACAAGTAGCGTCGCTTCTGCTTGATAGGTGCGGAGGCCGGATCGACGGTCAGCCGGTGGGTGATCACTTTCCGGCTGATGCCTGGCATGTCGTCCGGGCCCCACGCGAAGATGATGGCGTATGACCGTAGGACGAGGAGGATGGCGTCTCGCTGGTCCTGCGGGAGTTGCTTCCCAATTTTGAGGACCTGCTCCGGCCGAGAGGTATCCAGGGGGGTCTCCTCAACCTCTTCGGCTGGTTCGGCATGCGGCCTCTCCCCGTCCTTGGCAACGGTTGCCGTGATGGTGTCTATTCTTTGTCCTTCTCTTTCGGCCGGCTTCGTTAGCTTGAGGTAGCATGCCCTGGCTATCCTCTGGTTTCCTCTGGCGTAGCCGATGCCGTCACTGGTGGGGAACTTCAAGCATAAGTGCTTCATGGAGATGATGGCCTCCAGGTCCTCCAGTGTTGGCCGCCCCCAAATCAGGTTGTGGGCGCACTGAAGGTTGACCACCATGAACTCCATGTTAATTTTGGCGCGGTGGGAGCCGTCGCCGACCTCCACGGGGAGGACTATCGTGCCTTCGGCGTCGATAGAGTAGTCCCCGGTGAAACCGGACAACGGTGCCTTGATCGGCTTCAGCAGAGCTTTGTCCAGCTTCAGCTGCCTGAAGGTGTCCAGGTACATCACATTGACTGAACTCCCCGTATGGATGTAAGTGCGGTGGATGATGGAATTACCGATCTCACACCGGATGATGAGGGCGTCCCTGTGTGACTCCGTACCTGGAGGCAGATCTTTGTCGGTGAAGGTGATCGCCTCCGTTCGTTGCTTCTTCGGTTGGGGGGGGGGGGGGGGGGGGGGGAACGTGGGACACCTCCCCAATGTAAAAGGATTGGGCCCATTTCTTCCTCTGGGTGACGAAGTCCCCCCCGGTGTTTCCACCTACGATGAGGTGAATGTGGTTCTTCATCGGTGGAGGCTCCTCAAAGTCTTCGTCGTCGCTGAGCCTACCGATCTCCCGCTTCTTCGTAGAGGGTTCGCTCCCAGATTTGCTGGTGTTTACCCACGTATTTTTGCGCGGGCCACCTTTAACAAATTGGGAGAGTTCCCCCTGACAAATCAGGCGCTCGATGGCTTTCTTCAGCGTGATGCAGTCGTCGGTGTTGTGGGAGGCGTTCTTGTGGAACCGGCAGTAGGTATCGCCTTGCTGGATGGCATGGACCTCCTCCATCGTCCGAGGAAATTGTTCAATGAGGTCGTGCTTCTCGGCGTAGTCTAGGATGGTGCTGACCGGGTGTGTGAGGGGGATCCCCGGCCGTTCCAACCTCGGCCGCCAATGGCGGTCTTTCTTGCTTTGTCCACCAGAGCTGTGACGGCCCTGGGCACCCTGGCCGGCCGGGGATGCTCCCGGGGCCAGTGAAGGATTTGTCTTCTTGGAGGGGTGGCCTCCGTCCTTCTTGTGGTTGTGGAGCTCGTCGGCATACAAACTCCCGCGCCGAAGCACCTTCGCGTATGACCTCGGAGGGTCGGTGATGAGGCTCCTGGCATACGAGGAGCTGCGGAGGGCTCCCTGGTAGAGGACGAGGAGGGTGCGCTCATCGCCCCCCTCAACTGCCTCGGTCTCCTTCGTCCACTGATCTATGAAAGACCGGAGTGACTCGTCGTGCTGCTGCTTGACCGAGAGGAGATGGGTGAAGTATTTCTTCGCACGCTTCCTCCCGGCGAAGTGGGTGAGGAAGCGCTGGGCAAGGTCCTGCCATGAGTCTATACTTCCTTCGGGAAGTGCGTTGAACCACTCGTACGCTGACCCTTCAAGAGCGGAGAGGAACCAACGACAGAGGTATTCATCCGACGCGTTCACCATCAGCATGTTGTTCTGGTAGAGGCTGAAGTGCTCCTGGGGATCAGAGCGGCCGTCGTAGGTCTTGATGGCGTTCCCCCTGTACTTCTCCGGGATGGGAGCCGAGAGCACCCTGTTAGTGACAGGAGTCCCGGTCCTGACCTGGATGACAGGGTCACGTCGTCCCTCAGCCAATTCCCTTTCAAGGGCGCTGACCTTGTTCATGAGTGCATTGAGGCCAGGGTCATTGGAAGCACCGGCCGTGGGGATGTTCATCGACTGTCTGGCCTCCATCTGGGCCAGTCTCCTTTCCAGCTGGGCGATAACCTCGTCTCGAGGGTCCCTGGCGGTCGTAGTGGCGCCCTGTTGGTTCTGCATGCGCACCTCGTGGGCCGCGTTGATCTAGTGGCGCACGTCGTCCTCATGCAGCTTTCCTTTGCCTCTGTTCAGGTGGGGCTGGTCCGCTGTCCGGGACACAGACCCCAGGCTTTCCCTTGGCGAGCCAGGCCGGCGCTCACCAATCCGTCCCGCCATCCTCTTCGAAACCGGACGACGGCGCGTGTCACCCAGCCTCTTGAAGGCAGAGGCTTTTCCACGCGCTGGGGTCGGTCCAGGCCGAAGAGGGGAAGCAGGGTGGGAGTGGGACGACGCCATGTCCTGGGCTATCACCCCCTCATCGTTGCCTAGCTTGATGGCCAACGGTTGGGGCTGAGGAGGTGGAGTGATGTTCCCCCCAGTCCTTGGTATGAGTGCGCTGAGGATGGTGGGGTTCTGAGCCAAGCTGGCGATGATGACCGATAGTGCGGCCTGAACCTGTGGGTCAACAGACGGAGAAGCCGTGGCCAACGGTTGGGCCGGGGCGTTGTCTGCCTTCTCTGCGCGCTTCTTATCCAGGCCGATGCGGGCATTAGGGGCGCCGCCATTGAGCTGGTTGCGCAGGTCCACCGTGAGGTTGATGGCCTCCTGGAAGACATCCCCTCCTCCGACCTGGTCGGTCGTGGTGTCTTCCTCACGCTCCCTGTTCTCGTGATCCTCAGGGATGGCCTTGCTGACGAGGTTGCGGTTTGACCTAGTATGTATATGTATATATATATATATATATATATATATATATATATATATATATATATATATATATATATATATATATAACGTAAGGCGGTCAATTAAACAATTAAGAACTATCCTTTAAGAGCTTCCATGGATGCTGCCACTTGAGCTTCAAAAGAAGAACTATTCTACAAGAGCTTTAACGATGGTGAAATCTCACCTTCAATAATTGGACAATAATCTTTTTGTTTATATCGTCATCATTCATTTAAAACTTTGATGATAAAAATGTAAGACCAAACCTAAAATCTGATCGTCGTCACTGACAATAGGTGAGGGATAAAACATTTCCTCCGGCACCGCCTTCAGTGTCTAAGGTATTATGCATCCAATTCATGTCGACAAAAGATATCCAGGTGATGGAAAGCTTTCCGGAAATTTTTAATACAAGTATAAAACTGTACCGTTTTGGGATCGCACCATGAGCATGGTGGGCCCACAGTATAATTTGCTAACAACTAGAGAGGAGCAACTTAACCGTTGCCAATTCTTGGGTTCACCGTTAAAGAAGGGGCTGGTTGCCCTCCTTCGAACTGTTGCGCGCGTCTCATACTGTTGCGCGCGTCTCATATTCATCGTACCCTCGTCTCTTTCAACTTCCTTCATTTCTGCGTTTACGGGGCTTGGCATAACGTCGGTTCTGTATTCAGAACAATGAGCTCGGGGGATGGGGGTTCTCAATCATCATCAAAGAAATCAAAGAAACCACAATGTAATTCCTTCTCTCCTTTCTTCTCGATTTCGGATTTCATAATCCGTTAACTTTAAAAAAAACTATTTTTGTTTGTTTGTTGAAAAAAAGTTATGCGCTAGGGAAGTTCTTTTGTTTTATCTTTTCATGTGAGCAAATCTTATATTGTGGATTCTTTTCTATTAACAATTCTGTTGTCCTGTCTCTAATTATGTGGTTCAGATTCTAGATTTACTCAGCAAGAACTTCCTGCTTGCAAGCCAATTTTAACACCAGGATGGGTATGACCACTGAAAACTACAAAAAATAAATATTGTGAAAGTTGCACATTTAGTCGTAATTATCCTACATTATGTAATCATAGAACGCTACACGACCTAAAAGTATCCAAATATAGAAAAATTGAATTGCATGTCTTGGATTACACAATGTCATACAATTGATGAACGAACTTCATCAAATCCTGATTAGGCACTAGGTCTAGCTAGGGTTGCACCTGGTCTCAGAATCGAACTGGAATTGACCAGCTGCTTATTTGTTCAAAGAACAAACCGGAAAATGGTTTTGGACTGTAAATAGTCTGGTCCCGGCTCATCCAAAATAAGGGAACCAGACTGGGTCCATATCTCACTGCCTCTCATTTTTCTGGTTTGGCACTAGACCCCCAGTCTATGGCCTAGAGGCCAGTTGGTTCCTTCTGTAATTTTGTTGATATCATAGCATCATGTTTTCTGATATTTCTTCATCTTTATTGTCAGGTCATTACAACCTTTATTTCCATTGGCATTGTTTTTGTGCCTATTGGCCTTGCAGCATTGTCAGCATCACAAAGGGTAAACTTCTTAAAACCCTTTGCCTGAAAATTATTGTCTTAGATTACAGCGTGATCTTTCTGAATATGAATTTGAACCGATGTACAAGCTTAACTTTTAGATGAGGATCTTTAACACGGTATCATTAGCGCGCAAAGTCCTCCATCTGAAATGCACTGCCGCACAATTTAAAATCTATTGTGCACGTGTTGGGCCTTGTTTGGGAAAAGTAAACTCCTCCCACACAAAAGAGGGGGTGTGAACAATTGATTAAGTAAAATAAACTGGAACTACCTTTCCTGCTTAAACTATTAGATCTCACTACTTTGACAAACTGGTGTGCAGGTCGTAGAAATTGTGGATCGTTATGATGACTTGTGCATTCCTTCAAGTAAAGTGGATGAAAGAGATTCAAATCACGAGAGGGCTGAGTTTATTCAAAATGATAAAACAAATAAAACATGCATCAGGACCTTGATAGTCAGTATTATTCCCCCCACAATCATTAAATGAATGTTCAGTGCTTTTTAGCTCAATCTTTGTTCTATCTTCCTCTGATTAACAAAATGTTTGCTGACATTCATGACTAGGTTCCCAAGAAGATGCAGAGTCCGGTTTTTATCTATTACGAGCTTGATAACTTCTACCAGAATCACCGAAGGTATATATTCCTTTTCAGCTCATTTGAAACTTAATTTGGGTACTCCTGTATGGATATCTGTCTTAAAATGTGTTTCTTTGTATGTGAGGAGGGGGAACACTGGAAAAACTTCACTACAAAATGAGCACAGATCATTTTGTGCTTGGATCACTAAGAGTATGTTAGAATTCTGGAAAATACTATGGAAAGGGAAAAATGCCAAAGAAATTTGTTTTCTGATTTGACATTACGACATTAGCTTAGAAAGCTCAAATGTAAATGAAATATGATTACTTCTATTTTCTTTCTTTACATATGCTTTGATATCTTGATCCTTATACGGACATAAATAAGTGAAATGGGTATCAACAAATATCTAATACATAGTATAAACTTTTTGAATTGGAATCTTTTATTTTCCCCAACATTTTTATTTTGTTACCAATATTTCACAAAGTTTTCCTTCCTGTGCGGTTTCTCTAGTGTTTTCCCATCAAAACAGACCCTAGTGTTCTTATTTTGATAATTAATGGTCCTTAAGCTGTTTAAGTGGCTCACTAATTAGTAATATGCAATGTCAAAACCTCAACAGTCGAAATACTGTGCTTGGTGCTCCTGTATCATTGAAATTTTTCCCTTGAACTCTAGTTCTGAATGAAGGAGATAACTCGCTTTTTTGCTAGGGTTATTTCGCTGAAATTGTTGATACTGCTGAACTAAGGGCTTGGTAACATTCAGTCAGCCAAATAAAGCATAACTCATATTCTACTTATTTTGTGGATATGCAGAATAATCCAGATAATGGCTACCAAACTGAATCCTATATATTATTATGGTGTCTTTTTTTGGCAAAATGATTTTGGTGTCTTTTAACCACACTGCAATTGAATATCCCAGAAAGTACACAAAAAAGGAAATGACCCTTCTTCTGATGTTATTACAGATATGTAAAAAGCAGAAGTGACAAGCAATTGCGCAGCCCAGAGTCAGAGTATGACACAAAAACTTGTGCTCCTGAATCAATGAATAACAATAAGCCAATTGTTCCCTGTGGACTTGTTGCTTGGAGTTTGTTCAATGACTCTTATGGGTTTAAGATTAGCGACAAAGAGGTACCTATCAATAGAAAGGATATTGCTTGGGGAAGTGACAGAAGACACAAATTTGGCTCTGATGTTTATCCAAAGAATTTTCAGCAAGGAAGCCTTATTGGGGGTGGAAAACTGAATCAAAGCTTACCAGTTAGTACACAATCTTCCATTATATTACTTTTGTATAAATTTAGTGAGTGTTGGGAAAGGCTAATGCCTCCTTTGGTAGCAATAATTGGTTTGTTCTGCTAATTTTGCTTATTGCCAAGATATGCATCAATGCATCATCATCATTACCCCAGTGCTGCAAAAGCTCCCACCAATGGTGGAGAAATGGGGTCGGATGTACGCAGTCTTACCCCTGTACATTAGCAAAATATATAAATTTTGACCTACCTATTTTGACTTAAAAGAATGTTTCCAAACGCATTTCCTTTCATAAACCGCTGCAGACTCAACTTTTACAGTGAACTACAAATGGGCCCTAAATATGGTTGAAGTGACTGATCGACTGAAGTTGTGTAAGCTGTGTTTAGAATAAATGAATTGGTTGAATATGCTAAATTATCTAAACAATTTATTTAAATATATTTCTACATAAATGAAATAAAAACAATATCTAATAATAAAGATAGAAATACCAATTGCAGTAATTTCAGTCACAAAGTGTTAACTACTATTTACCCAAATATATGTGTGGATGTGTGTGCAACTTTCGGACGATTCAACTCAGTCAATAAATTAATGTTTGCTGAAAAAAACTGGCTAATGAAACTCATAAACTGAAAAAGAAGCCTGCCAAGCGAGAGAATTTCTAAAAACAGGATGACACCCCCTCCCTGAGGGCCCTCAAAACCGATCTGACAGATATATGAGAATATCTAAATTGAGGTTTGATCACACACTGGTGGAAAGAGAATGATGTTTCAGCCCAAGTGTGTAAATAAAGGAAAGGGCCCTATGTAAGTTTTAATGGAATCCACAATTGAGTGGGATAAATGCCTCTTTGTCTTGGTATTTGAACTTCCATTTTTATTTTTAAATTTTCCTTCCATTTTTTTTTATGACAGTTAAGTGAGCAAGAGGACCTTCTTGTTTGGATGCGAACAGCAGCTTTGCCGAATTTCAGAAAGCTGTATGGGAGAATAGAAAGCGATCTCGAAGCTAATCAGGAGATTACTGTGGTAATCCAAAACAATTACAATACGTACAGTTTCGGGGGTAAAAAGAAGTTGGTTATTTCAACCGCGACATGGGTTGGCGGGAAGAACGATTTCCTTGGAATAGCATACCTCACAATTGGCGGAATTTGCTTCTTTTTGGCAACAAGCTTCATACTTTTGTATGTCATCAAACCAAGGTAAATACTCTACACTATTCATTCCATTCTTCTGTGGTTGTTATTCTAAACTATTCATCTTTGGGTGGCCAATTATTAGTTCATTTTAACTTTTGGTCATCCACGTTCAATTTTCATGCACAACTTGGAGTTTCTTGCCACTTTGATCTGTTTGATAGCTTATCTAGCTAATTTCTGAACAATTGAAGATAGACTTTTCGTCAAATCAGTGATAAATTGAGAATATCACAAGATGAATACTTGTGTGCCAATGTTTAAAAAAGGAAAGTAAAAAGACAAATGCGATGATGTGAATAACAAAGATATATTTTCTTCATATTCCCATCGTGTATGGTTTCTGCAGGTCATTCGGAGATCCCGCCTTTTTATCATGGAACCTCAATCCCGACATGAATTGAAATTTTCTTCATGTTCAGTAAAGGTGTTCTGATTCCACTCTTTTATCTTATAGTTTTCTTCATTTCCTGTTCTGTTTTTCATTAATTCATTAATTCATGAAGAGTGTAATTAGTTTTCCCTTAGTTTTATTGTCATGGACTCGTCGAGCTAGTGTATATACTTTATAAATTAGTGTGTAGCCAAACACCTTCATTACTTCACATGTTCTTTAATTGATAATTCCTGTGTCTCAGTTGAAGGATCAAACACTATCACTCAATTAGCTTCAATTTCTTTTTAATGTCCATTTTATACTCCCTCAGTTCTTCAATAGTCAATACTTGTCCCTCTTTTCATTTTGGATTGTTCTTTAATGTCTTCCTTTCCATTTTTAGAAAGTTTTTTCAATAAATATATGGATATACCCCCTCATTCTCTTTCCTACTTTTTCATTCTGTTTCCTACTTTTTCATTTAGAACACAACTCACTACACCTTTTATATTACCCCTATTATTTTGTTCTTAAATCTTGTGCCAAACCCTATAGGGACATGTATGGGAGAAGAGAGGGAGTATGATAAATCTTTATCATCTTAAAACCCGGCTTTTGCGATTCAATACAATATTTATGTCACAGATAGAAAAATAATATCCTATAATTATAGTATGTTTATTTCAATAATTTTCTAAACGAACGGTTATTTATGATACCTTAAAATAATTAATAGGGAAAATAACTTTAAATAATATAAACTATCTTCGATGAATCAATAATACGGAGTAATGCATACTTTAGAAATAGAGTCACTTTTTTAAAATGGAGTGTAGCACAAAAATAAAATGCAGTCACTTTTTTTTAAAATCTACTAATTTAAGACATTAAAACTAATATCGAACCAATAAATAATATTTGGAAATACGCTTACTAACTTTATATTTTGATACCAGTTTTTTATGAATTACTCCCTCCGTCCCGCTAAGATTGTCCCATTTTATCTTTTCGGGAAATCGCACTAGGATTGTCTCATACCAAATTTGGTAAAGTTTGTTTGGCTCTAAATAATTTTTGCTTTATTCCCACTTTATCAATTCAGGGGGTGTTTGGAACTGATTCTGCTTTTGCTTCTTTTTTAAAGCAGAATCAGAATCAGTTTTCAGAAGCTGATACCTCTCAGCTTCTAAAAAAATTGATTCTAGGAGTAAATTAGAGCACCCGAATCACTTCTGCATTTTCACCCAAACACTCCAATCACTTGAAGGAGCAGAAGCAGTTTTAAGAATCAGATCCAGTGTGATACCTAAAGCTCCACTTCATAGATGGCTATTTTGACTTTATGTGGTATAAGCTTTGGCCATCGGGAGTCTAAGCTTCAAGATAAAACTAAGGGGCTGTTTACTTTTTTTTTCATTAAGTCCTGTATGAATTAAGACGTCTGTATGGATTAAGACGTCTGTCTGGATTAAGTCACAGTGATATAACAAGCTGTTTACTTTGTGTGCTGAATGAACATGCTGAATTATATCAAATGACCAGTTTACCCTTCTATATGGAAAAAGTGTTGAATATATATTGTGTGTCTACAGTACAATTAAAATATACACTTTTGGAATATATGTTGTATATATAAATTAGTAATTTATTTAAAATATATATTTTTAACTTGGTATTTGGGTAAAATATACATTTTGTAATGTTGTACATTTAATTATTTCATTCGCATTTTTCTAAAAATAAAAGTGAACATAAGTACACTTATTAAAAATATGTTATAAACTTTTCAACTTATATTTGAAATGGTGTATACATATTTTTTTATTTTAGTAGTTGCAACAATATCAATTATTATATTTATTGATCATATTTTAATGATCATATTTTTCATAAAGTGTAGATTATTTCCACAAAACTTTATTTTAAAATTAAATCGTGAAGCTAGTTAAATATTTTTTTGAAAAAAAATTGCATTTTTTATATGTGTATGGGCGCATATGTTTTAGAATTTTATTTTACTACATTCATGATTGAATTTTAAAGTGAATTTTTTATAAATAATCTAAACTTCATGAGTAACATGCTCATAAAATTTCATTATAAAATAGCACCGGGAACCATCCAAATGGGGTGGCCAGACGGCGGTCTCCTCTAGCCTAGACTGGAAATATACGCTATATATTTTTGCAATGTCATAAAGCATCAACAAGCTTTAGTAGCTCTTTGGTTTCTCCTTCACTCGGCTAGCATGAGCACTTGGGTTCGAATCCCACCTCCAACATTATTTTTGAGCAGGAGTAACAAGGCTTGAAAAGAGGGTAAAAAAGACATTTCATATAAAATGATATGTCTGAATGGTAAGGAGAGTAGAATATGAGCTGAACCATTAAGACGTTTTACGTCTGAGCGAATAAGTCATTTATTTCATTAAGTCGCAAGTAAACACGCCGATATAGCTGAACGAATAAGTCATGATTTCCATTAAGTCCATTAAGTCGCAAGTAAACAGCCCCTAAGTTTGACACCTACATCTATCCTCCTACACGTACAAGTATATGGATGAAGTGTATTGTTCATTTAGTTCCAACTAGGGATGGATTCGGTTCGGGCCACCCGGCCCGTGATCCGGCCCGGCCCGGTACTGTGCGGGCCCGGGACCGGCCCGGTACTGTGCGGGCCCGAGACCGGCCCGGTTCGGGCGGTCCGGGACCGGGTATGGGCCCGAACCGGTGGGAAGGGCGGGGCGGGCTCGGTTCAGCATTTTTGTGACCCGGCCCGGCCGGGTCGGGTCCGGGCCCGGGTCCGGTCCAATTTTTTAATTTTTTTTTTTTGTTTGGGCTCCTACTAGCCGTTGGGGGTGGGGCTGGGGACAACCCAAACGGCTATATAGCCGTTGGGTGGGGTAAAGGGGGGGTCCGGGGGGTTGGGTGGTGGGGGGGTTGGTGGGGGGGGGGGGGGGTGGGGGGTAAAAAAAACCTATAAATACTCCTAATCTTAAACATTTTTTCATATCTCTTCTCCAATTCTTCCTATTCTTATCTCTCTACTCTCTAATTCTCTTATTCTCCAATATATTATATATCTACTCTCATATTCTCTTCTCCAAGAAGTTAAGATGGAAAATCAAAATGCCATTATACGGTATAATTTTGATAAGCAGAAGGACCCGAAGACCGGGATGTGGTACGCAATTTGCAAATGGTGCGAAAAAAAATGTATAATGGGTGCTTCAGGCGGATTCGGGATGGCAATCAAGCATATGAAGTCATGTGACAAGGCCAAAGGATCGGGAGGTGCAGGAAGTTCCGATTGATTACAATTTTCAAAATCTTTATGACTTATATGTAGTTCCTATTTCATTTCAAATAAATGCAATTAAAGTTTGTTTTTAATACTCGTATAAAACTATAAACTATAAATATAAATTATAAAAAAAAAAATAACCGGCCCGGCCCGAACCGGACCCGACCCGTGACCCGGGCGGGTGGCCCGGCCCGAACCGGACCCGTCCAACCCGCGGGCCGGTCCCGGGCCCACTTTTCTTGAACCGGCGGCCCGACCCGGCCCGAATCCATCACTAGTTCCAACACAATATATGACTCACCTTAAACTTACATGACTCATCCTTTATGATATAGTTTCTTTTTCGTTTGAAGGAGTATAATTAATACTTCATACGTTTCATAAAAGTTGCAACATTGGAATTTCTGCACTATTTACACACCTTATTTTGACTACGATTTTCTAATAATATATATAATAAAAATGTTGTGTATAAAATATTAATAAATTTGTATTAATGTAAATTTCCAATATATTAACTTTTTTAATGTTTACTAATACGTAAATAAATATAATTACAGTCAAAGTTGCGCGTTGGCAAACGTGAAAGTCAAACTGTTTCAACTTTTATGGAACGGAGGATAGTATATGTCTTAAGTTTTTGCTTAAAGGTCAAAAGTAAATTTTTGAGTTAATTTAATTTTCATTCCACGTTACTATTCTTTGCAAATTTAAAAATTGTATTGAATTTTAGCTTTAATACCAAATAAGATGAATGATTAATTTAGGACAATATTTGAGATTATATTTATATGTAACTTAACATCTAGACTAGATTTTGGGGCGTTACATCGGCCCCAGACAAGACTTAAACAGACCAAACCGAACTAAGACAATTATAAATTATACAGAGATCACACATTTATCAGACTAGACCAAACCAGTTTAGACCAAACCAGACTTAAACAGACCAGACCAGAGTAGTCCAACAAATTACAGTCCAAAAGAAATCATCCTTAGAATACAAAATGAGAGTGCCTCCACTTATAGGAGTCTAAGTTGCACTATTGCATTGAGAAATTTTTCGTCATCCACTTTTGATCCTTTACGGTACACTATTACACGCAGAAAGTCTAGTTTTTGCAAAGAAGAAAAACTATGATTTATTTGACGAAAATGCCACCGTGTTTTTCATTCCATTTAATGCAGTTTTTGACATATATAGAGCCATTATATCTAAATCCCATGCTCCACATATATATACATACACAAATTTTCAGGTTAGGATTTTCCGTACCAGAGCGAAGTCTGGCCACCTCGTTTTGAGGTGGTTCCCAATTTTATTTTTTACTGAAATTTTTTGAACATGTTCCCCATGAAGTGTAGATGATGTCCACCAAATTTGAGCAAAAATTCAATCGAGAAGGCAGTCAAATAATTTTTGGAAGATAATTGTGTTTTATATGTATATATTGGCGCTTTCAAAAATCATTTGACTACCTTCCCGATTGATTTATTTGTTTAAATTTGGTCGACATTATCTACACTTCATGGAGAACATGCTCAAAAATTTCAGCAAAAAATACCATTGGGAACCACCTCAAAACGAGGTGGCCGAACAGGTCTCTAGTCAGGAATTTGCTGACCGAAAGATTACTCTACACACACACATATATATATAGAATAGAGATCAAATGCAAATTCTCCTTAATTTACGAACTAAAAACTCATCTTGGCACCCGATAAGTTGGTATAAAGGCACAATGACATTTTTGTAATAAATGTTAATTTATTAGGATGTAACTCTTTGAACGTTAATTTGCAACTATAATTTATGACTGAATAATATGTAACACTTTGAACCTCAATATGCTATACAAATAACGTAAACATGTATCGTACAAGCGTTTGCACAATAAGCACAGTTTTCACTTGATCCGCCTTACTTTTTTTTATGTCAACATTTTTTTTAAAAGAGGAGTTTTTTTAAAAAACTAGAAAGGAAAAGTACATCAAAGAAATATGAAAAAGAGAAAACAAGATACAAAAAGAAAATAATAAAAAATAAAAGTGAAAGATCCAAATTAACCAACCCTAGTTATGACAAAGAAAACCCTCCCTAGAAGCCTAGAAAACCCTCCCTATAACCCTCCTTAGTTATGACAAATTGGTAGAACTCCCTAAACCCCTACATATAGGGGGAGTTTAAATAAAAATGTGGTGTTCCCGTGCAAATTGTGAACGGTTGTACTTTTCGCTCAATGCGCTACACTATTTCATGTTTCTGTAGCAGTTTTTTGCTGTGGCAAAAACCTTTGATTTATTTATGAAATTGTTACCATATTTTTGATCAAATCTAGTGCATTGTTGGCTCATTTTGAGCTATTAGATCTGGAAATCAACACACAAGATTCATTCTCACTTTGCAAGGGAAGATCTCTTTGTATTTTTTTTTGAAAAGAGGGAGGTCTCTTTGTATTTGAACCTTCCCTTATATGTCTATACCAAAGATTATAATTCATTCAAAAAAAAAACAGTTAAATAAATTATTGGAAAACACTACGCTTTTTATGCATATCAAAGACGCAATGCTTTTCAAGAACTTATTTAACTGACTTCTCTATTGAATTTTAAGTTGAAATTTGATGGACATAATCTACACTTGGAATACATGCTCACTAAATTTCATCAAAACTTTTTTACCGGGAAGTAACTGAAATGGAGAATTCTGCACGACGATTATTGTTAGGAGATCATGACAGGATCTCTATATATAATTAGGGAAAACTTAGCTTTGTTATTGCTCAACCATCGCAACATAAGGAACCTTTTTCTTTCCAGGTTCGAACCACACGAGGTGGGGGATGCCGGGGAACATCTCCCTAATTTATTAAAATAGATTTAAAAGTACATGAGATGTAATTTTTGAAAGTGCAAGAGAATTAAAGCAAAAGAAAAAATACGGTTAGCATTTTTTTTTTGAAAAAATTCCAACTGCCGCAGAGATTGATCTATTGTATCTGTTGTGGAACTTAATTGCCTTCTGGAGATAGGGCTAGTAGATTTTGTCGTTCGGATGAGATTGTTTGAAGCGCTTTAGAGCTGTTGTGAGTTTATGTGGCGAGTCAAACCTCACGTCGATCGGGTAGAGAAAGAAGTATGTCTCGTGTTGGGGTTTTTTGGAGTGACTTCGGGTGATCATTAGGTGTGAAGTATACCCCACTTCATAGTATTGTTGTTCATCTTCTCTAACTTCATTTGGTGTGTTGTTTGAGTTCGTGCTTCTACTTTTGCGTCTTTTTACTTATGTAAATCCTTCTAGTAGTTCTTTTTTCAGCTGGGGGATGATCTGAAAGACTTGAAACAGAAAAGGTAAGAGGTTGATTGTACTTAGAGAGAGATCATCACTGGAAAGTATTGTTGCAATTGTAGTAACTGTTTTCTCAACTGTAAGATCAGAGATGTTCTCATCATTTCCTATTTTGTCAACACCGGATTCATAGGCAGCTTCCTCACAATTAACCATTTGATGAATTCCCACGGTTACCGCCACATAATGGGTAGCCACCGGGGGATCATCCTTATCAAAACCCACTGGCCGTTGAAAAGCCTTGGAATCACGATGGTCTGAGACCACTAGCTGGACATATAACCTGTGGCGCATAAGGAACCTTGAACCTTGAAATGGGAAAAAGGGTGTAATATTTATTACGGAGCACTATCAGCCAAAAATCATGAGAGGTACAACCAGTGTATAACAATAAGGGATTTTTACAAAAATATTACTAAAATAAAACTTATTTAAACAAATACGATTAATAGTTACTACAATGTAATGTCATGGTAACATTAAGCTTAAAAATTGAATATAAGTTACTATTATTTCATTACTACATTAGTCATTAGTCACATTTTTATAAACAATCTTTATTGTAGTCAAAAATATGTAATTATTTCTAAGCCTTATTTTATGAATATTACTAAATAAAGGCTTGAAGACAAAAAAGTGACCACATGAACAAAATTCCAAAAATATGACTAGTATGAAGTGACTTGCAATTTTAGTGACTGAAATTAGACCAAATAGTGACCACTCGTGCAGTGACTTCCGCCACCGCCCCGATTAATGACTGACGCTGCCGCTCCAATAAGTGACTGCTGCCGCCCGTCGAATGACTGCCGCCACTGCCTGTCCAGTGACTGTCGCCACAGCCCATCCAGTGACTGCTGCCGCCCCCGATCAATGACTGCCACCACCCACCGGTCACAGTGACACATCGTCTCCGGTCATAGTGACATGCCATCTCCGGCCACCCCAATCCATCCCTCTGATGCTCTCACAGCCCCATCCCTAGCCCACCTCACCCTAGCGTCGCCGCTGAGCATCACCGTGGACCACCGCTGCCAACCACTGCCCCTGGAATGCCGAGCATAACCCTTATGAAGGACTCCAAGCTTCTAATTATCCATCAACAAAGAAACACACTAGCTTCCTATATTATTGCAAAAGATACGGACTTTCCCAGACAAACTATTCATTCAATGTACATGGGATTTTTTTGAGAAAAGTATTCTCTACAACTCAAACATATCCCTTTGAAGTTCCATCTAATTATAATAACAAGAACATCAAGAATGATAACAATATAGACGTATATGTACAAACACACATAAAAAGAAGAACAATGCTAAAAATCAGGTCAACTATATATATTTGATGAAAGAATTACAGACTTAAAGCAATCTGTATCATGGAATACAACCACCGCACCTCTGCCAGCAGCAAAGGCTCTAGGTCAGATGCATCATCCACCAAGGATGGCGGATATGGAACCGGAGACCCCTCCCCTGCCAAAGTCACAGCCACCACTATGGCCGGCCAACAACCCCCCTCCAGCCACCCAATCACTGGTGCACATCAACTCCGACGAACCTAACTAGCCCCAATCTACTCCCCTGAGCCCAAGCCCACCACTGTTCGACCCAAATCAACCAGAACAGATCTGGCTGTCTGCAACCAAGTCAGACCAGAAGTCGTCTCCAGGGAGATGTCGTCATCCACAAAGAAAGGAAAAGAAGGGACCGCATCGGAGATGATAGCACACCTGGGGGGCTGCGGCCAACAACAGTGGTGGTTGGTGGAAGCGACAGAGCAACAACGATGGAGCGTAGAGGAGCTTCGTCCGATCTTGAGGGAAGACGACGATCTGGGAGAAGCTTGGTCTGATCTTCAAGGGAAGACGACGATCTCGGAGAAGCTTGGTCCGATCTTGAGGGAAGACGACGATCTGGGGGAAGCTTGGTCTGATCTTTGACAAATCCAGCATCATGGTGGAGCACATGGAAGAGGAGCTGATCTGAGAGGAAGACAACAGATCTGGCCATCTGAGAGAAGGTCTTCGATCAAGCGCAAAGAAGTCGAGTGCAGAGGGAGGCGGACGATTTGTTTTAATCTCTTTTTTGTCCAACCCAAATTTGGTCATATTTTTGTCCATCAAAACTTGAGAAGTAATATTTGTGCTCGAAAGAATTTGAGGTTGGGTAACATGAATCAACATAGGTAATTGGAGCTGAAAAAAGATAAAGAAGAGAAAAAATACGATAAGATAAAACCATAAGATACGATAAAAAGATAAGATATACTCCCTCTGTCCCCTATAATTGTCCCATTTTTCCATTTTTGGATGTCACCCTATTATTGTCTCATACCATATTTGGTAACATTTGTGTGTCTCTAATTAATTCTCAGTTTATTCCCACTTTATCAACTCATTATCAACCACATAATTCTACTTTTTTTAAAAATCACACCACTCCCTTCCGTACCAATATTAGGGGGACGGAGGGAGTATATGATAAAAAGATAAAAAGGGTAAAATAGAGATAAAAATAAAAAGATAAAGAACATATGAAATTTAAATGAGACAAAAAGATAGAAAAGATTAAATGAGATCAATCTTTCTCTCAAATATGTTGCATCCACTTCTCTCTCTAATGTAATACTCTTATCCAACCCAAGATGTAGCATATCACATTGACTCCTTTAATGCATGTTTATTTGGTTGTTCTTCTCCCTTTCTTCTCTGCTTCTTTTCACTACTTTTTGGCTCGTTTACCAGGTGAATTACTCCCTCTTCTATGCACATAGCCAAACCACCCAAATCGAGACACTCACATCTTATCTTCAATAGGCGTCACTCCCACCTTTTCTTTGGTGCTGTCATTCCGGCCTCAAGCAGTCTTTTCTAAGTACAACTAAGGACGATTTGAAGATTTATGTCACAGGGACGATTCCAAAATAGGTAGTATAAGATCCTACCTATTTTTATTCAAAAACAAATATTTTCATTGGCATATACACAACATTTAAATACAGTACATTCTAAATTTATACAATGAGAAAATCAACTTGGATTTTATAATTGTAGTTCTTGATTTTGTTTTTAATAAATTAAAGCCTAATTAAGTAATGCCAAATCAAAAGAAAATTTTGATTACAAGAAAATGATTAAAACATTATATATTTATTTGAAAATAAAGGGTCTAAGAAATACACATACTCCTATATTTTTAAATGACTTTTGCATTGTTTCACTGCATGAATCGTTTATAAGTCACGAGGAGTCTTTTTAATATTATAATAGTATCTAAAAAATTGTTTCTTTTAAGATTAATATTATGTTGTTAATTCATACGTAGTATAGTTTATGCCTAATATATTTTTATTAATGCTAAAATATTTTAAGTTTATTATTTATGCAATAATTTATTTTTTTAGAAGTCGTAGCTCAATGAATTTGTGTAATTTTATTGTTATACAAACATTTGTATCTCAAATTCACTTTACATTATCTAATAATTGTTTAACTTGTGTTCATAGTTTTTAATATTACTTGATATTTTTCAAAGTCGGGTACTTTTTTCTATTGAAGATAAATAAAACATTACAAAAATGAGATTTTTCACCTAAAATAAGTATCATAAGTCTTAGATCAATGAATTTTCTATTATTTATTTGTCAAAAAAGAAGAAATTAATATCAATATTTATGATCAGAAAGAAAGAAAAACTAAACTTAACTAAAATAGTTCATAATACAAACTACTTTAGATTTTTTTCCTTTTTTTGGATGAAACGTAAGTTTATTAAATAATACTCAAAAATAACATAATACAATGTATCAAAATTAAAGAGCTAACTATACTAACTAAATAGTGTCCAACCATTCAAAGCCCCCACCCCCACCTCCACCCCCACCTATTGAAGTTTATGATTGAAATTAAATGATTATCATTGCTATGATGTACATCCGTATATGTAGAGTTACAAACAAAGAGTCCTGGTCTATGTAACTAACTAGGAGATAAGAATACACATTCAAATTAATTACAAAGAGATAATATGAGATAAATATTATGATTTATCTCTATCATGCCCCCGCAAGTTGGAGGGTCTGGGAAGAACTCCAATCTTGACATGGAGCTCTTGGAATCTGCGTCGAGGCAAAGGCTTGGTGAGAGAGTCAGCTAGATGATCTTCAGAGCGAACATGAGTGACACGAAGGATGCCATGTTGAACATGTTCCCGAATGAAATGATAGTCCAAAACAAGATGTTTCATACAGGAATGAAAAACTGGATTAGCACAGAGATGTGTGGCTCCAACATTATCACAGTAGATAACCGGTTGAGTAGGGATAGAGACATGAAGCTCTGTGAGAAGAGACAAAACCCAACGGAGCTCAGCTGCAGTGGTGGCAACGACACGGTACTCGGCTTCGGTAGACGAATGGGCAACAGTGCGTTGTTTGCGAGAGCTCCAAGAGATAGCATTTGGTCCAAGGAAAATAACAAATGCTCCGGTAGAGGTATAATCATCAGGATTGTCGGCCCAATCGGCGTCAGAATATGCATGCAAAGATAAAGATGGAGACCGTCGGAGAAGAAGGTCATGACCTGCCGTGAGACGAAGGTAGCGCAGAACACGCTTGGTAGCTTCCCAATGTTCATCAGTAGGACAATGAAGGAACTGAGATAATTTGTTAACAACATACGATGGGTCCGAACGAGTGAGAGCTAAATACTGTAGGCTGCCAACAACTGAGCTGTACTGTTCTGGATCAGCAAGTGGTTTACCAAATGTAAGGCGTAGCTTGGAAGAAGAAGCTAAGGGAGTAGTGACACCATTGCTACCAGACATCTTAGTTCGGGATAGGAGATCCAGAATGTATCGTTGTTGAGATAGGAGAATTCCATGCGGATGAGGCAGTACCTCAATTCCTAAAAAGAAGGAAAGGTTTCCAAGATCCTTTAGAGAAAATCGTTGACCAAGATCACAAATCAATGCTTCCAGATAAGTGGGAGAGCTGCCCGTAATATTTATATCATCAAGATAGACTAAAATATAAGTAAGATGATGACCACGGCGAAGCACAAAAAGAGATGTATCAGCCTTTGAATTTATAAAGCCAATTTGGAGAAGAAAAGACTTGAGTTCTTGATACCACGCCCGGGGGCCTGTTTGAGACCATATAGAGCTTTGTGAAGACGACATAGATGGGTAGGTTTGGTGGAATCCACAAAGCCAGGTGGCTGGAGCATATATACTTCATCATAAAGTTTACCCTGCAAAAAAGCATTATTAACATCAACCTGTCTGAGTGGCCAGCCACGACTGACCGCAAGAGAAAGAACGAGACGGATTGTGGTTGGCTTGATAACGGGACTGAATGTTTCTGTATAATCCACCCCTGGTCGTTGATGAAAGCCCTTGGCAACTAAACGGGTCTTGTACCTGTCAATAGCACCATTAGACAGACGTTTAGTGCGGAAAACTCATTTACAATCCACTATATTCTCCCGACCGGTGCGAGGAACTAGTGTCCAGGTACCGTTGCGGATAAGTGCATTGAACTCGTCAGTCATGGCATGGCGCCATTGAGGAGAAGATAGAGCTTCCTTTACAGTACGGGGTTCAGGCGAGACTTCTGAGAGTTGAGTAGTGAGGTTGAGTTTATTTATGGGACGATGGATGTTATTCATAGAACGAGTAGTAATACGATGAGGAGGCGACGAGGAAGTATTATTATGGGAGTTATGCATGTCCGAAGATGTGGGAGCATGCATGGAGGTAGTTTGCGGAATAGTTTCTGACGTGGTGGAGAATTGTGGGTTAAGAGATTTATTGGGTAAGGAGAGAGAGAGACGGGTGGCTGCGAAGAAGATATATTTGAGGGAGTAGTTGACGAGTCAGACGCCTGGGAGTTGGATTTTAAATGAGAGAATATTGGGTGAGGTGGAGGGATAAGAGATGAGGATAAAGGTGACATAGAGGGGTTGGTTGAAGGTGGTTCGGGTGGAGAGGTTGTTAGGGGGATAGAGGGGTTGACTAAGGGTATGTTTGGGAGTTTGGAGGGAAGGGGAGGGGAAGACTTTGGAGGTATGTTGTTGGAGGGGAAAGGGAGGGGAGGGTGAGGAAGTCCTTCTTTGTATTTGGGAATAATAAAATTGGAAGGAGAGGGTTTTTGAAGGAATTATAATTTAAATCACTTTGAGATATGACGAATTCAAATCATTGAGCTCATATTCGTTTCTAATTTGGCTTAAATTACCATCTTGTTAATTATCCTTCAAAACTTTCCAAATTGGGGGAACTTAAAAATTAAGCATTTGGAGGGTTTTGAAGGGTTACAAAAGCCCTCCGAAACCACCCCTCCAATTTTTTAAACTCCCAAACATGAAAAGAAGGGTCATAAATCCCCATTAACATTCCCCTCCCCTCCGAAACCCAACTCCCAAACACACTCTAAGGGTATGTTTGGGAGTTTGGAGGGAAGAGGAGGGGAAGACTTTGGAGGTATGTTGTTGGAGGGGAAAGGGAGGGGAGGGTGAGGAAGTCCTTCTTGGTATTTGGGAGTAATACAATTGGAAGGAGAGGGTTTTTGAAGGAATTATAATTTAAATCAATTTGAGATATGACGAATTTAAATCATTGAGCTCATATTCGTTTCTAATTTAGCTTAAATTACCATCTTGTTAATTATCCTTCAAAACTTTCCAAATTGGGGGAACTTAAAAATTAAGCATTTGGAGGGTTTTGAAGGGTTACAAAAGCTCTCCGAAACCACCCCTCCAATTTTTTAAACTCCCAAACATGAAAAGAAGGGTCATAAATCCCCATTAACCTTTCTCTCCCCTCCAAAACCCAACTCCCAAACCCACTCTAAGGAAATAGGAGTGACACGTGTGGGAGAAGATATGGGTTGGGTAGAGGAATTTGTGGAATTTTGGAGAAGCACATGGGGTGGGGACCAAGTGGGAGTCATCTGGGAAGGAGAAAAAAAAGTAGGAGGGGAGTGGGTGTCATTTGCATGGGAAAAATTATGGGCATGGGGGAATTGATTTTCCACAAAAGTGACATGCCGGGAGACGTACATTTTATTTTGAGTTCGGTCAAAACAAAAATAGGCACTTTGAGATAAAGAATACCCCCAAAAAATACAAGGCGTAGACCGAGTTTGTAATTTATGATGATTGTAGGGGCGTATCCATGGATAACATAAGCACCCGAACACCCGTAATTTGTGGTAATTAGGGGGAGAGTGATACAAACATTCGTATGGTGAGTTATTATTAAGTGTGGGAGTAGGAAGTCGGTTAATAAGGTATACTATCCTCCGTTCCATAAAAGTTGCAACAGTTTGACTTTCACGTTTGCCGACGCGCAACTTTGACTGTAATTACATTTATTTACATATTAGTAAAAATTAAAAAAAGTTAATATATTGGAAATTTACATTAATACAAATTTATTAATATTTTATACATAATATTTTTATTATATATATTATTAGAAAATCGTAGTCAAAGTAAGGTGTGTGAATAGTGCAGGAATTCCAATGTTGCAACTTTTATGGAACAGAGGAAGTACGACGGTAGGAAGAGCATATGACCAAAATGTTGGGGGTAAAGAGACTTGATGTAGAAGGGTAAGGCCAGTTTCTACAATATGACGGTGACGACGTTCAGCATAATCATTGCGTTCAGGGGTGTGGGGTGGGGAGGTGAGATGAGAGATACCGGTTTCAGCTAGGTAGGGGGTAAGGGATTTAAATTCTCCACCATTGTCAGGAAAAAATGTTTTAATTTTGAAATTAAATTGATTTTCCACAAGCTGACGAAAAATAGTGAATATAGAGGAAACATCAGACTTTTTTTCATGGGATAAAGCCAGATATATTTTGTAAAGTGGTCAATAAATATTACATAATATTTAAAGCCATCAAAGGAGACTACTAGAGAGATCCAAACATCAGAAAAAATAATTTCTAATGGATGAGAAGATTTTATTGATGAACTAGTAAATGGGAGTTTATGACTCTTATTACATTGACATGAATCACAATTAAATAATGAGGAAGATACATGATATAATTGTAATTTGGATAAAATATGACGGAAAATTGCTGAGGAGGGATGACCAAGACGAGAGTGCCACCGGTGGGAAGAGACACGGACTTCAGAAAATGCTAGAGGTGAGGAAGTTGACAGAGATGGCCATTCATAGAGTCCATCTTTAGCCGGACCTTGGAGGAGTGTTGCCCCCGTGGTGAGATCCTTAACACAAAAAGAAGAAGGTGAGAATTCAACAGAAACATTATTTTGATGACAAAATTGAGACACAGAAATAAGATTTTTATGAATATTAGGAACACACAAAAGATTATTAAGGGAGAACGAACAATTTGGAGAAGATAGAGTACCGGAACCCGTAAAATAATGGGAAGACTACTACCGTTTCCAACAATGACTTCATCAATGCCAGGATATGGAGTATGCAACGAAAAATTGGCAAGATCAGAAGTAAGATGGTGAGTCGCCCCACTGTCAAATATCCACGGAGAGGATGGAGCAGGACCCAAAAGACCTGGACCCGGGGCTGTAAGGGCTTGAGGAGACTGCCATGGAGGACGAGTCTGAGTTGTCCAGGATGTGTTGGAATCATGATGTGGCCAAGGAGGGGCAGCACACTTGGTAGGTGCTGGAGAAGAGGTTACCATTAAACGAAATAGAGGGCACGATCGAGCAGTGTGTCCTTGCGTACGACATGCCTGACATGTACCGAGATAAGGGCGAGAAGCCCTAGATGGAGTGCCACGGCCAGAAGAGGAACCACGACCATAAGTGGAATGGCGGCCACCACGTCCACGAGAACTAGAAGAGGGGGGGTCCTCGAGCAATATTAGCAGTAATAGGAGTGGGCGTAGATTCAGATCCTTCAAGTAATTTAAGTTCACGATTAATGAGCTTTTCATGTAACTCAGTAAACGTGATGAATGTCTCACGGCCTTCAACAGCATCAATAACAGGTTTACAGGCATCATCCAGGCCATCAAGAATACTCAATAAAGTCTTCATGATCCATAGGTTTGCCAAGGAGAGCATGTTCATCAGCAACATTTTTTATAAAGTGCATATATTCACTAATACTTTTAGAGCCTTTGGTGTATTTGCGGAGTTGAGATTTAAGTTGCTTGATATGCCCACGGGATGGTTGGGCATAAACAGAAGCAAGCGTGTCCCAGGCAGCTTTGGTAGTGGTGGTGCGGGTGATGAGAGGGACGACAGGAGGGGTAAGAGTACCAATTAAGGCACCAAAAATTAATTTATCTTGGCGGATCCAGGATGTGTGAGCAAGATTTGATACTGGTGTAGGAGAGCCAGTGGTGATTATAGTAGATGGAGGGCAGGGATATGATCCGTCAAGAAAACCGTCAAGGTTGTATCCCGTAAGAATGGATTGAACTTGAAGTTTCCATGAGAGATAGTTGGTAGGAGAAAGCTTAATAACATTTCCAAGGTGAACGGAGATGAGGGGTTTATTAGGTTCGGAGGAATTGGGGATATGAATTTGAGAAGAAGTGTGATCGGAGGTTGCATCAACCTCATCTGGAGAAGATAACGACATAGGGGAAAAAATTAGATATGAAAGACTATGAGTGATCGAAGCTCTAATACCATGTTGAAGTTTATGATTGGAATTAAATGATTATCATTGCTATGATGTACATCCGTATATATAGAATTACAAACAAAGAGTCCTGGTCTATGTAACTAACTAGGAGATAAGAATACATATTCAAATTAATTACAAAGAGATAATATGAGATAAATATTATGATTTATCTCTATCACCACCAACCAGACTCAGAGTTAAACACCTTCCTGAAAGCAATATGACTCTCAATGTATATGTGCATAACTGAGTCAAAGACAGTCAAAACAGACTTTTCATCACTCAACCTAAACTCAAGATGACTATACATTTATACGAATTGCATTTTATAGACAAATTGCCCGTTTAGACAAATTGCCCGTTTAGCGGGCGAAATGGGGGGTGGGGGGTGCAAATGTGTGAAAGTGCGTTATTTCATTCTTAAACTATACTTGACTATAAATTTAATTCGTGGGAAAATGTTCAAATAGCCAAATAGGTCCTACTATTTCAAACATGTCACTTGGGTCCACAAATCAAAAAGTAATGACTATTAATTTCTAGTAATGTAGTGTATATGAATATGATATTAATATGTTTGCAGCAAATATTACTAGTGTGTGTACCAGTGCACTGCACGGTAAGATACGCGTGGTTTTTTTAATTACATGGGCTGTGAATTGTATATGAATTTGTCGATTGGAATTTAAATGAGAACTCAATTGGCTATGGATAGAGCTGTCAAAAAGAGTCAGATTCCATAGGGTAGGTCTAATTCGTTCCATTTCATGATGAGTTAAACTTGTCATTTTTAACTTGATGAACTCACCGATTTTGTGTGTCAATTTGCATGGGTTGTAGGTTGGCCCATGCAAATTGCGAGTTGGTAAATACACATACATCTAATTTTGATTTTCATTATCCTCAAGGTTGATCGTTTACTACCAAAATCATTTTCAATTATATACTCAATATTTTACAATCTTTGTTGAACTATTATTTCTATAATAATTACTCAAATAAACTACTCCAACATATTTTTATGTTATAGATGAAAATATTTTTTAACAATTAGTAGTCATTATTTACAAATATTTACTCAAAAGATCTAATTGTATCTTTATTTTTGTATAATGAGTGCTTTTTGTATATACCATTAAATAGTTATCAAAATTTAGTACAACAATGATTTAATAACATTTTTAATTAAACTTATCAAGTATTGTGTACTTAGTATATTGATTTCTTATATAAAAAGAGAATTTAGATCAAATGACAATGGATGAAGAAAAATGAGAATGAACGTGTAGTGTTAGATTTGAGGGTTATGTATTATGTGAAATAGAAAAGTGCACTACATAAATCAGAAAATGTGGTGATATTTTTGTAAATAAATTCAACTTTTTTGTCCTTTGAAATTGTGAATTATTTTAACTAGAAATGTGCGCCTCCATTAAATATAATGTGCATCATTTCAGATCATTCTCATTTCTCACGAATAGAAGTGTTCCTACTGGAACCAACCATATATATTTCAGGGTGACATGCACTTTGTCATGGTGTGCACTCAAAATAAATAAATACAATAAAACACTTATACGTAGTATAGTGTAGTAAGGTTCGTATCCATGGGGAAAAGAATACTTTTCTTTTAATTAAATAGTAACAAGGGGTTTTTAGATTGTTTTTGAAACTTTAAATGTATTTAAACACTTATACGTAGTATATTGTAGTAAAGTTCGTATCCACAGGGAAATGAATACTTTTCTTTTAATTAAATAGTAACAAGGGGGGTTTTAGATTGTTTTTGGAACTTTAAATATATTTAAACACCGAGATGAACGTCACTAATGCAAAAACGCCGATCAGAGGCGCTTCAAATTGCTCACGTGCAGCGCTTCAAAGCGCCTCCAACAAATGTGCCGCAAATCTCAAATGGAGGCGCTTTTTAGACTGGAAGTGCCTCTAATGTTTTTTTTAAAAAAATATTTCAGAATTTTGCGGTGCTTCGATCAGCAAAAGCGCCGCAAGCACGAGGTAAATGGAGGCGCTTTTTATCCTGGAAGCGTGATACGTTCGTAATTTCCATTTCTATGTTTATGTTTTTAATTAGTTTTGCTTGACTTTTACTTTGGAAATTACACACTTTTGGTGTAATAGGTTAGATTGTTAAATTCTTGTAAATAGGTTAGATTAGACATATTCTGAGCTTAAGCAGGTTTTGGTCACCCAAAGTACAGTTGGTGAACCCAAAAAGTGAAGAGAAGGTGCAAAAGTTCAAAGACAAAAGAAGATCCTGAATTTTGGTCTATACTCGGTCGAGTATTAGCTATACTCGATCGGGTATTAGGTTGGAACTTCAAATCGGATCAGATCCGAAGACAAAGGAACATGCAGGGAAGATTTTGGCCACGATTCTATGTCTATACCCGATCGGGTAGACCGACATACCCGGTCGGGTATGCCTTTAAATTGCAAACGAAGATCGGTCGAGTATAGCCCGAATACCACTTTCTAAGCATACTCGACCGGGTATTCATATATACTCGATCGGGTATACACTTAGAAACTAGCCTGAAACCGGTCGAGTATAGCCCGAATACCACTTTCTAAGCATACTCGACCGGGTATTCATATATACTCGATCGGGTATACACTTAGAAAATAGCCTGAAACCGGTCGAGTATGCCTCGGATCGGGTGTTACACACATACTCGATCGGGTACCATGTATATACCCGATCGAGTACCCAAATCCCATCCCAAAAACCTATAAATACACCTCCTTTCCTTCACAAAAAAATATCCAATCCCTTGTACATCTAAGCTCAGTATAGAATAGCTCTTTCTTTATATTTTTCATCATGTTTAGTCTCCAAATGAGGAGCTAAACTCTTCCATCTTGGTTTTGCTACTTTGAAGCTTAATGAATTTGTAAGTTGTGAGTTATTTTCTTTAATCTTCTTCCTTGAATATTAATTCTTTCTTTCAAAATACTATCTCTATATCAAAGTTGGGGAGTGTTACTAAGATGACAATTAGTTAACATCTTGACATTGGTTATAGTAATAGCTATTTCTTCCTCTATGATTATATTGGGGAGTGTTGCTAAGATGACAATTAGTTAACATCTTGATATTAATCATAGTAGGATTCATATATTTTAATATTCTTCCTTGAGTATTGATTAATTCCTATTCATATTTCATGTTAATATCTTAAACATTACTTAAAGTATCAACTAGTATTGTTTCTCATATTAATTATTACTAGAATCAATCGGTTAATACGCTTGTTATTAATCCGGTTCTTTCAACGGCAGTAAACTTGGAATATTAATGCATGCATCTCATGGTTAATATGCCAAGGGGAATTAATTATATTGATTAAACTAATAAACCGCTTGTGTTGAGGTTATCAATCTCAATCGTTTTCATCTTAAGTTTATTGCTACTATCAAGTTAATATACGGCGCTTGTTCTATATTGACTCGATAGTAAGTTTTATTAATGAACGCATCTCGTTATTAATAACTACCCTCGATGAACTGGATATACTCCTCGATTGAGTATTCGAGAGGAAGATAGTTAAAGATATAACCGGGATCGACGAACATTTCATTAAGTGGATAAAAGCAAAACCAAGTCCCCATCTCATTGAATTAAACTCATATAGGTCGTTTATCTTAGTGTTATTAAACCAAGCAAATCTAAACCCCCCTTGTTATTATTTATATAAAAGAAAAGTATTCCTTTCCCTGTGGATACGAACCTTACTACACTATACTACGTATTAGTGTTGTATTGATTAATTATTTTGAGTGCACCTAACGACGAGTGCACGTCAAAGCGCCTGTAATGTTCTTTTTTTGAATTTAAATCGGTATTTAGAGGCACTTCTGACCAAAAAAGCGCCTCCAAAATATCCTACGCAAACTGATTTTGAAGCGCTTCTGACCACAAAAGCGCCTCCAATTGTTATTATTATTTTTTATAATTTTTTTTAAATTACTATATAACCTGTTTTATTTACAGATCAATTGTCAACCAAAACAACACATTCATTCATTCATAAAACCAAAATAACGGTAGAATCATTTCACACAAATTCAATTCAAAAGGTACAAATTTGTATCACAATAGAAATAAATTACATTCAAGTTTGCTTCATTTTCACATTTCTACATAGTCATAACACTTCGTCTACAAAAAATCTAGCTCATTCTTTTTTGATATCATCAAACTCCTCCGTTGTATATGGCTTAGTTCTTGAATTCCAAACCTGAAAATAATCACAAATATAGATAAAATAAATAATTGTTGTATATGGCCATGAGCCGATGTGGACAAAACATTGTTGTATGCCCTTCAATAATGATTAAAAAAACGCATGTAAATCAAATGACGATGTGTACTATAAAAACACAAAAAAAGTATATGAAGATGAAAATTTTCACTGTAGTTGAAATAGCACTAGGAACAAAATAGCTTCAATATTTCACATGCATCATTTCATCAATCGCATGTCACACTCCTTCCCTATATTCTTGGGTGAACATCCTGTTAGAACTTACAGATAAAAAGAGTATATTATAAGGGTGTAGAAATATGGTTGGACCGGATATCACTTCTAGTCACGTATTAAATACGCTTTCCTAAAAGTTTACTATCTACCCTTATCACAGTAACCAGATTGCAAGATAGAACTTTTGGGATAAAAAGAAGGTGTATGATGTATTTTAGCTACTGATAAAATAACACCGAACAAGTGATTTGTAAACAAAGTGGTCTAAACACTTTATTACTAATACTGCAGATAAAAGTAATATAGTAAGGCAATTAGAGAAGGATGACAAAATTGATTTTTTACGTTCATACTTTAATTCACATGATCTAGCAATATTTATATGTGAATGGTGACTTTTTGAAAGGAGGCAAAAAGTAACCAGTGATAAAACATGTTTGAAAAGGTGCGGCATTTCAAATGGCTAAGAACAACTATATTAAAATAATTTTTAAAGGTGCGGCAATTGAAAGGATAAGTACATCCTTTAAAATAATTTTATATACAAATAAAAGAAAAACAACACACCTTTAAAACAGCCAGCTGCACAGCGGCAACAACAAAATTAAACTTAAAAATAGTACGGAGTATTAAAGTGATAGCCAAATACAATTATGTAATATTATTACTAATATTATAAAATCATACTACCAAAAGTATAACCGTAGTAATCATAATATTAAATAATAACTATTACATCATATATACTCCGTATTCCTTTTGCAACAAAAATGTTAATTGACCATGTAAAATAATAATTGAGCTTTATTTTCCAATAAATCTTCAACAATCCTCCTCCATTTATTGAAAAATAAACATGCTCAATTCTTGCCAAATAGACCACTTATCAAGACTTATGCATAATTGAAAGTGTCTTAAAGATTGAACTTTCATTTAGTGCAATATTCTTTACAATATTTCGGATCATAATAGTAGACTAAGCTTTGAACTATATAACCTCTTTGAAATACTGAAGATATTACACACATAAATCTCTATAAAATTTCACTTAGAAACTTGACACCATTAACGGCCTTGTGTCCATATCCATTCATGAGCTCCAACAAGTAAAGCCTTAAATTTGGCGAATCGGCCGCAATTCTAGCTCACATAGGTAGGTCTTTTCAAACTGTGTTCTGCAATTAAACACTTTATCAAAAGATCTATTAAGACATAGTCAACCTCATTACACATTGCAGACTCAAGCACTTACCTCGGGATGGTTATTATTCAAAAGTGCTCCAACCACAGAGTGACTTACTCATCGTCATTGAACTCAAGATCTAGCGTTGTACTAGACGTTGAGTTGGGCTTTCTTTCACTTGTGATTGTTTTCCAAGGGCTTTAACCCCATCCCTTTTGTTGTTTTGTACACCATGTCCCTTGGCATTGCTTTTGTAAAAGGATCAGCCAAATTCACACGTGTTCGTACAAAATCAATCACAACAACTCCAGAACTAATAAGTTCCCGCACATAGCTCTGTCTCACTCCTATGTGCCTTGACTTACCATTGTACACATGGTTATAAGCTTTCGATAGAGTTCATGCACTATCACAATGGATTGATATCTGAGCCATAGGTTTAGGCCATATTGGGACTTCTGACACTAAATCCTTTAACCATTCTGCTTCTTTACAAGCTGATGCTAAAGCTATAAACTCCGAAGCCATGGTAGAGTCCGTGATACAAGTTTGTTTCTTAGATGCCCATGATATAGCACCTCCTCCAAGAAGAAATAACCATCCACTTGTGGATGAATAATCCTCTTGATCAGTTATCCAACTTGCATCCGTGTAACCTTCTAATATAGAGGGTTCACTCTTGTAACATAAGCCCAAGCTCATTGTTTTCTTTAGATATTTCAGCACTCGCTTCAAGGCTTGCCAATGAAATATACTACGATTACTAGTATATCTACTTAGCTTTCCTACCGCAAATGCAATATCTGGTCGGGTGCTAGTCATTGCGTACATCAAACACCCAATCACCCTAGCATATTCAAGCTGTGATACAGCGTTCCCACTATTTGGAACTAATTTCCAACTAGGATCCATGGGAGTGGAAACCGGTGAACAATCCAAACTCCCAAATCTTTTCAACACTTTCTCTATATAGTGAGATTGTGTTAAGGTGATAGTATCACCTTGCTTGATTATCCTAATTCCAAGGATAACTTCCACTTCACCCATATCTTTCATGGAGAAGTTTGAACAGAGGAAAGTCTTTGTCTCATTTACTTGCCTCAAATCAGTGCCAAATATGAGCATGTCATCCACATATAGACAGATAATGACACCATTACCATGCTCATTAAATTTGCTATATACGCACTTGTCTGATTGGTTTATTTTAAAACCATTTTTAAGCACCACATCATCAAACCTTTGATGCCATTGTTTAGGTGCTTGTTTCAGACCATACAAAGACTTCACAAGTTTACAAACTTTCTTTTCTTGTCCTTTAACTACAAACCCTTCGGGTTGTTTCATATACACCTCCTCCTCCAATTCACCATCTAAGAATGCGGTTTTGACATCCATTTGGTGAATCACATGAATGTGAATGGCTGACAAAGCAATTAACAATCTTATGGTAGTTATTCGGGCTACTGGTGCATATGTATCAAAGTAATCAATATCATGTTTTTTTAAAGCCTTGTGCAACCAATCTAGCTTTAAACTTGTCAATAGTACCGTCTACTTTCATTTTCTTCTTGAAAATCCATTTACAACCGATTGGTGTGCAACCGGGTGGTAAATCACTTAGAACCCAAGTATTATTGCCCATGATTGAATCCATTTCATCATTCACGGCCTCTTTCCAGAAGGAAGCATCTTGTGATTTCATTGCCTCTTCAAAAGAGTTAGGATCCTCCTCAACACTATAACAATATAGTGTTTGAGTTATAAGGGTCTCTCTTGATCCTCCGACCAAATATAATTGGAAATCGGGACCAAATGACTTTTCTTTTCTAGCCCTCTTACTCCGTCTAATTACAAGCTCATTTTCATGATCCTTTTCCAGTTCATGAAAATTTGAATTACTTGAACTGAGATCAACATCATTTGGCCTAGGAATAGAAGTGAACCGCTTCTCATCAAAAAGAGCATACCTAGACTCAATAATGGTATGAACCGCAATTGAGTCATTCGGTTCAATAACATAGAATCGATATGATTTACTATGTTCAGCATATCCAATAAATATGCACTCTATCCCCTTTTCACCTAACATTTTCCGTTTAGGTTCCGCTAATCTCACGATTGCCCTACAACCCCATACCCTAAGATAACTTAGTTGGGGTGTTCTTTTGTGCCAAAGTTCATATGGGGTTATTTTATTTCTCTTGTTAGGAACTCGATTAAGTATATAACAAGCAAATAACATAGCATCACCCCAAAAGCCATTACTTAAGCCCGAATTAGACAACATGGAATTAACCATTTCTTTTAAAGTTCTATTCTTTCTTTCAGCTATGCCATTTTGTTGCGGCGTGTAAGGGGCTGTTGTTTCATGGATTATTGCAACAGATTCAAAAAATTTAGGCTCATAATATTCTCCTCCTTTGTCAGTTCTAAGCCTTTTTACTTTCTTTCCGGTTTGTAACTCAACTTCCGTTTTAAAAACTTTGAATTTATCCATTGCCTCATCTTTGGAAAATAAAAGATATATATAACAATATCTTGTGCAATCATCAATAAATGTGACTACATATTTTTTATTTCCAAAAGAAGGAGTGCTATGGAAATCACACAAATCACTATGCACTAATTCAAGCATGTTGGATTTTCTTTCAACATTTTGAAAAGAATTTCTAGTGATTTTGTTTAACATGCAAGTTCTACATTTTTCTATGTTCATATTAAAAGGAGGAATTAAACCTACTTTAGACATGTCACTTAGTCTACGATAATTAACATGACATAACCTATTGTGCCACAAAGAAGAATCACAAACCATATACACAAAATTAACAACTTTATTTACAACACTTAGTTTGAACATGCCATTACAAAAGAAACCTTGGCCAACAAATACACCACCCTTAGATAAAATAAACTTATTTGCTTCAAAGCTAAGTTTAAACCCAAAGTTATTTAGAATGCCACCGGAGACAAGATTTTTCCGGATTTGTGGTACAAAGTACACATCATTAAGAATTAATTTCTTTCCGGAAGTTAATTCCAACTCTACTTGCCCAATTCCTTGAATTTGCACAGTAGAGTCATTTCCCATGTATAAGATTGGCCCCTCTTGCAACTCTTTTAAAGTCTTAAAAGCTTGCCTATCTTTACATACATGCCTTGTGGCTCCGGTGTCGATCCACCAAGATTGATCATCCTGCACAAAACAAATTTCAGAAAGCATAGCTACAAAAATCATGTTGTTATCAACATCATTTGTAACTATAAAAAGATTCTGACCTAGGTTGTCTTGACCACCATTTGGATGGCCGTTCGATTGGGCCTTCTTCTTCTTCACCTTTGGGCAATTCCTCTTGAAATGTGGACCACCACATTCCCAACAAGAGTCTACTTTCTTATCTTTCGGCCTCTTTTGAAACTTGGAACCTTTGGTGAATTTCCCAGGACGTTTTTTATTTTTCTTAGTCCCACTTGACTGTCCCTCCTCCATACCATTTTTAGAGGAAATTGGAAGGTCGTTCTTTTTACCATTGTCACCTTCACGCAACTTAATGCCTTCTTCAATTTGAAGTCGGCGACCAAGTTGCTCCATTGAAAGATCCTCTTTTTTGCGTTTGAGGCTATTTTTCACTTCCTTCCATGAAGGTGGTAATTTGTCGATTATTGAACCGACCGCAAAGGTTTCATTTACATGCATGTTATGAATCAAAAGTTGATCATATAAACATTGAATCTCATGAAATTGCTCCATGACCGGACGAGAATCCACCATTTTATAACTATTAAAGTTACTAATGAGAAATTTCTTGCTTGAAGTATCCTCGGTCATATATTTGGATTCTAGAGATTCCCACAACGTTTTAGCATATTCAACATTTTGATACACATCAAAAAGAGAATCACACATACCATTCAAAATGTGTCCACGGCAGATATAGTCATCATTGTCCCACTTTATGCGACGGCGGCTTGTTTCCAAAGACTCGTTTTCTTCTTCCTCGGGCGGCCTCGGAGTGCTTAACACGTAGACCACTTTCAAAGTAGTGAGCAAAAAATGCATCTTTTTCTGCCACCTTCGAAATTCCACACCTTCAAATTTTTCTAATTTTTGAAAATTGGTGTTGATATCACGTTGCGTAGCGGCCATATTTACGGACTAGTAAACTTTTAGATTGTTAGAACTTACGGATAAAAAGAGTATATTATAAGGGTGTAGAAATATGGCTGGACCGGATATCACTTCTAGTCACGTATTAAATACGCTTTCCTAAAAGTTTACTATCTACCCTTATCACAGTAACCGGGTTGCAAGATAGAACTTTTGGGATAAAAAGAAGGTGTATGATGTATTTTAGCTACTGATAAAATAACACCGGACAAGTGATTTGTAAACAAAGTGGTCTAAACACTTTATTACTAATAATGCAGATAAAAGTAATATAGTAAGGCAATTAGAGAAGGATGACAAAATTGATTTTTTACGTTCTACTTTAATTCACATGGTCTAACAATATTTATATGTGAATGGTGACTTTTTGAAAGGAGGCAAAAAGCAACCAGTGATAAAACCTGTTTGAAAAGGTGCGGCATTTCAAATGGCTAAGAACAACTGTATTAAAATAATTTTTAAAGGTGCGGCAATTGAAAGGATAAGTACATCCTTTAAAATGGAGTTTAGATAATTTTAAAGATGTGATATGAACTAAAACGATCAATACTACAGAGTATAAGGGAAAAGCTTGTTCTAGACATGCTTTTAGTGAAGCATCAGACTTCATCCACAAAATAAATTTAGTCCCTCCTAAAATCCAACAGAAAAGCTAACCACCCATAACTTGATGAAAACATAGAAAAGGAAAGAAGATCCGAAATTCCAGGCATTTTGCAAAGAAAACAGGGTTCATTGGGCAGTCAATGTAGGTCGCGACCTTGAACCCCGTTCATGACCAGTTCTCTTGCAAACCTGAAAGAAATTCAAAGTAAAATCCAATCCATCAAATTCTCGTCTAAAACTCAACAAGGATCAAATTCATGGGGTCAAAAGCCCACAAACCTTGCAGATTTTTGTAAGACTTATAGTGTTATGAGGTTTCTATTCTTTAAGGACGAGACATCTTCTACTTTCTCTTCATCCCCTTTTCCTTTATTAGTAATTCAGTCATGTGACTCATGTGAAGATACTGACAATTATCTAAAGCATAGAAAGCAAGCAACACTTAAACATTAAACAGATAAGAGTGCAAAACAGATATAATCATACATTTGCAACTGGCAAATTATCAGGAAGTCTCAAAGAACAACACTGTGATGGATCGTTGATCTCAATCAACTTCTAGCTTCCCGCAAAGAAAGCAAGCAACACTTAAACATTAAACAGATAAGAGTGATGGTCGATTGATTCTAGTAATAATTAATATATGAAACCAAACTAGTTGATCCTTTAAGTAATGCTCAAAATAATAATATGAAATATGAATAGTAATTAATTAATATTCAAGGAAGAATATTAAAGAAAATAAATGCTACTCCGTACTATAATTAATGTCGAGATGTTATCTAATTGTCATTATAGCAACACTCTCCGACATTTATATAGAGATAGATTAATTAATATTCAAGGAAGAAGATTAAAGAAAATAACTCACAACATACAATTCATTAAGCTTCAACGTAGCAAAACCAAGATGGAAGAGTTTAGCTCCTCATTTGGAGACTAAACATGAAGAAAATATAAAGAAAGAACTTATCTAGACTGAGCTTAGAAGTATAAGTGAATTGGTAATCAAATGGGAAGGAAAAGGGGAGTATTTATAGGTGTTTAGAGGTGGCAGGTCGTTTACCCGACCGGGTTTTTTAGAAACCCAATCGTGTTTCCTGAGTAATTGCTCGAAATCTTCATTAGTCACATCTACCCAATCGGGTTTTTGATTTACCCGATCTTGTAAAAGACAAATCCTTGCCAAATCTTCGCCCTGCACGTTTAATTTCCTCCAACTCATATTTGATCATCGGGTCGAGTCAAACCCGATCGAGTTTTTCTTTTACCCGACCGGATTTTTGACTTTTCCCCCAAATTTTCACTTTTTCTTGTTCCCTCGCACTTTGTTTGACCTTTCCAGGATCCTTTTGATGATGTTTACCTAGTTTAACCTCTGAAAATCCCTAATCTAAATAAATTACAAACAAATACGAAATATAAAGTATTACACCTAAAGTGTGTAATTGTTAGAATGTAAACTTGATTTTGGGCTAAGTTAATAATTGATGTTTGTTGTAATGGGCAAAGCCCAAAATAATAAGGAGTGTTCTAGAGGAGAAATGTTCTAGAAAGTTTCTAGAGTGTGAGATTTCTAGAGTCATTCTAGAGAATAATTAATAATAGAGTATTCTAGATAAGGAGAATTCTAGAGAACTCTCCACCATTTATTGTGGATGTGAGTAGTATAAATAGGTGTTGTTGTGCTCATTTGTAATCAAGCATCAAGCTAAGAAATCTTCAAGCAATAAAATACAAGTTCTCTCTTCTTCCATCCTCTCTTCTAGTTAGCTAAAAGCTTTTTCTACTTACACAATTATCTTCATAACATCCTAAAATACTTAGCCTCTACCTCTAATATTCCAACAAAGTGGTATCAGAGCCATGGCTAACGGGATGCAATCCTTTCAATTCCCTCGCCTAACCAAAGACAACTATAGTACTTGGTGCATCCGAATGAAGGCAATATTAGGTTCACAAAAGGTGTGGGATTTGGTGCTGAATGGCTACGTTGAACCGGAGGATGAAAGTACTCTTAGTGCACTCCAAAAGGACGCATTAGAGAAGGCTCGGGAGAAGGATCAAAAGGCAATGACTCTCATTCATCAATGTTTGGATGACAATCAACTTGTGAAGGTTGCAAATGCAACTACTTCGAAGCAAGTTTGGGAGATTCTTCAAAATACATATCGTGGAGTCAATAAGGTAAAACGCGTTCGTCTCCAAACACTTAGAGGTGAGTTTGAGTCTCTTCAAATGAAGGAATCCGAGTCTATTTCTGATTATTTTGATAGAGTTGAGAAGGTAGTAGATGAACTAAGGAGGAATGGAGAAAATTTGGAAGATACAAGAGTGATAGAATAAATTCTTCGCTCTTTAACTCCAAATTTTGAGCATGTGGTAGTAGCTATTGAGGAATCACATGATATAGACTCGATGACTATAGACCAACTTAACGGATCACTAGTGGCCCATGAAGAAAAAATGAAAAAGAAGAAAGTGCAATATCCGTTGGAGCAAGCACTTTATACACAACTTTCATTCAAAAGAGGTGATGGTCAAAGAGGGCGAGCTAGGGGCCGTGGACGAGGTCGAGGCCGAGGAAGAGGACATGGTGAAAATCACCAAGAACACGAAGAAGAGAAAAAACAACACATCAAGCCGACAAGAGGTCGTGGAAGAGGCGGATACCAAAGGTATGAGAAATCACAAGTTAGATGCTATAATTGTGATAAATTTGGTCATTTCGCTTCCGATTGTAAGGCAAATTACTGTGAAGTGGAAGAAAAGTTTAACCAAGTCAAGGATGAAGTCGATCTTACCTTATTGATGGCACATGATCTTAAAGAGAAAGAAAGAAAGAGTGTGTGGGTATTAGATACCGGCGCAAGCAACCACATGACCGATGATAAAACCATGTTCGCGGAAATTAAACAAGCCAATGGAAAAGTCACATTTGGAGACGAGTCAAAGGTGTCGGTGGAAGGAAGAGGTAATATCTTAATCCGTCTAAAAGATGGTAGCCACCAATTTATTTCCGATGTTTATTATGTGCCCAATCTCAAAAATAATATTTTGAGTTTGGGGCAACTTCTAGAAAAAGGTTATGACATCAATCTAAAAGATAATAATCTTTTTCTAAGAAGTGAAGGAAGATTAATAACCAAAGTGCCAATGACGAAAAATAGAATGTTTTTATTGGAGATTCAAAATGATGAAGCAAAATGCTTACATTCATGTTTAAAAGATGATTCTTGGTTATGGCACTTGAGGTTTGGGCACTTGAACTTTGGTGGCTTAAATTTATTATCAAGAACCAAAATGGTTGATGGGATGCCAATGATAAATCATCCAAATCAATTGTGTGAGGGGTGTCTTTTAGGAAAACATGCAAGAAAAGGTTTTCCAAAAGAATCAAATTTTAGAGCTAAAAGGCCCTTGGAATTAATTCATGCCGATGTTTGTGGACCCATTAAACCAAGTTCATATGGAAAGAATAATTATTTTCTTCTTTTCATTGATGATTATTCTAGAAAAACTTGGGTCTATTTTCTAAAAGAAAAGTCGGAAGTCTTTGGGTCATTTAAAAAATTTAAGACCCTTGTAGAAAAGGAAGTTCGGCATGAAATACAAGCCATGAGATCTGATAGAGGAGGTGAATTTATATCAAATGAATTTAATGAATTTTGTGAAAATAATGGGATTCGCCGTCCTTTAACGGTTCCATATTCACCACAACAAAATGGCGTGGTTGAAAGAAAAAATAGAACTATTCTTGAGATGGCTAGAAGCATGCTAAAAAGCAAGAATATGCCAAAAGAATTTTGGGCCGAAGCGGTTGATTGTGCTGTGTATATTTTAAATCGTTGTCCAACTAAAAGTCTTGACAACAAGACACCTCAAGAAGCATGGCGGAAGAAGAAACCAAATGTTTCTCACCTTCGAGTTTTTGGAAGTATAGCATATGCTCATGTGCCAGATCAAAAACGCTCAAAGCTTGATGATAAAAGTGAGAAGTTTGTGTTTATTGGATACGATAAACACTCGAAGGGATATAAGCTATATAATCCAGTCACGAAGAAAATCATTGTGAGCCGAGATGTCCAATTTGATGAAGAAGCCTCTTGGGATTGGAGTGTTCAAGAAGATGAGAATTACAACTTCCTCCCGCTCTTTGAAGAAAATGAAGAACAAGAGGACCATGATGACCAAGCGGCTCAAGAACCAAACACTCCACCTCATTCACCATCCATCCAAGGAAGTCCACCAACCAACGATGAAGGCTCAAATGAAAGAACTCCCCGTTATAGAAGCTTACAAGAGGTATATGAGGTAACACAAAATTTGGATGAAATAACTCTTGTTTGTCTTCTTAATGATTGTGAACCAATAGGTGTTCAAGAGGCGCTAGAAGACAAGAAGTGGAAAAATGCTCTGGACGAGGAGATGAAGTCAATCATGAAGAATGATACTTGGGAGTAAGCTACGCTACCAAAGGGGCACAAGGCTATCAGCACTAAATGGGTATACAAAGCAAAGAAAAATGCCAAAGGAGAAATTGAAAGATACAAGGCAAGGTTGATGGCGAAAGGGTACAAGCAAAGGGCCGGTATTGACTATGACGAAGTATTTGCTCCCGTTGTCCGCTTAGAAACTATAAGATTACTTATTTCAATTGCGGCTCAAAATAATTGGAGATTGTACCAAATGGACGTAAAATCGGCTTTCTTAAATGGTTATTTGGAAGAAGAAGTCTATTTGGATCAACCCCCAGGTTATAAAAGGGCAAGAAAATAAAGTTTTAAAATTAAAGAAGGCACTTTATGGATTAAAACAATCCCCAAGAGCTTGGAATACTAGAATAGACAAGTACTTCCAAGAAAATGGTTTTCTAAGGTGCCCTTATGAATATGCCCTTTATGTAAAAACAAATGAAGATGGGGATATTTTGATTGTGTGCTTATATGTGGATGATTTGATATTCACGGGTAACAATCCAAGTATGTTTGATGCTTTCAAGAAAGAAATGAGTCGTGAATTTGAGATGACGGATATGGGACTTATGTCATACTACCTTGGAATTGAAGTCAATCAAAGTGATAGAGGAATATTTATTTCCCAAGAAGGTTATGCAAGAAAAATTCTTAAGAAATTTAAGATGGATGGGTGCAAGCCGATTGACACACCAGTCGATTATGGGACAAAATTCTCTAAGTTTGATGAAGGAGATAAAGTGGATCCGACTATGTTCAAAAGTTTGGTTGGGAGCTTGCGCTACTTAACATGTACGAGGCCCGATATTCTTTTTGGAGTGGGACTTATTAGCCGCTATATGGAAGCACCAACATCTATCCATATGAAGGCCGCCAAAAGGATTCTACGCTACCTAAAAGGTACGATTAGCTTTGGATTGACTTACTCATCTTCTAAAGAATATAAGTAGTTGTTTGGTTATAGTGATAGCGATTGGGACGGAGATATCGATGACCGTAAGAGTACAACCGGGTTTGTACTTTACATGGGGAATATGCCTTTCACATGGTCTTCAAAGAAGCAACCAATTGTGACACTTTCGACTTGTGAAGCTGAATATGTTGCCGCTAC